TAAATGAGTAAGAGAGCTGGCGAGAGAGTGAATGAGTGAAAGGAGAGTGAGTGTGAAAGAGAGAGGGAGACATAGAGAGTCAGTCAGACAGTCGACTCGTCTGATTGTGTGAATGTGGGAATAATTGAATAGGCAGTAAAGAGCGAGAGAGAGAGTGACTCAATCAGTTCACGAGTGAATGAGTGAAAGAGAGAGGGAGAGAGCGTCGTGCTATTTTCATCTTGAATGTGCATTGAAAAGCGATGAGCTGTTTGTCGTTAACGAGAAAAGCCGACGTGACTTGCATTTCGACGGAGCGTGTGTGACGAAGTATTTCAGGCGGTGCTGCTTCAGCACTCGTCCGTTGGCGCGAAACGCCACTTCGGTTGCGGTTTAAATGTCATCTTCTTTCGTCCCTCCACAACCCATCCAACCTCAGCAGAGCTGGAAGGAATGCTTCTACCCTCTTCCAGACTCCACTCCCTCCTCGACCCGACCGCCTAATCGTTTCACCCGAGTCGATTGCTTGTCGCTGTAGCATCACATCTGAGCATTTCTATCCTCTTCTGTGTGCTTGACGATGCGCAGTACCATTGCCCCTTCCAAGTTCACACCTTTCTCGGCATCTCGCGCTTCATTTGACTCGGCCAATTGCAGACACACGCCCGGTTGAAGTGATGAATGCCTTTTCATCTTTTGCTAACTTCTACTTTCTAGTGACAATGCTTTCACGCCTTTTGCGCCAGCAATTGACACGACCTCGGAGAGCAAGAATGGCGTCTCATCTGCACTACAACATTGAGCAAAGCGATTAGTACTACTAATACACATTATCAGTAGTACATCATAATAGTGAAAAAAAGTTACAAAAAAATAAAATAATAATAATAATAGTTGCTGTAGTAGAAGTCGTCATAGTCGTCAATGTTTCTCACTTTTTGCAATAGTTTAGTCTGCTCAGAAGGCCAGATTCTCTTTAATCCTTTTCAGCAGGCTGTTTTCCACAAAGTGTCGACTGCTTTAAAGTCTTTTTGAATCTCACAGTCCCGTTGGAGCCCGCTCGGCCGGCGCGATTGGGAGGCAAGAGGGACAACGCAATTGGACATGCCGAGTGGAGGAACCAGCGAAAGCCGACTCGTCGAGTGGCCAAACGACCAGGGCCAAAGGCGACTTGGCTCGACTCCCTCCGAGGGCAGAGGGTCGACCCTCCAATTCGATTGGGAGGGCGGTTAAATTCGCCGCAAATTGAGAATTTTTCTGCTGACAAAGTACATTTTGCTTGCCTACGCCGAACCTCAAAAGGCTGAAATGGTGCAGTTGGTTTTCTTTCGAACAAGTAGCCACCGCTGATACTCACCGTCAGCTG